TGTTGTCTATTGCATACATGTAGTTACTAACCTGAAATGGTCCCAATATACTGCTTGCTTTCATTATGTATAGTGACTATGACTGAACCAGTGCTATTTGTCATCTGTGATGATGGTAAATATCCATGACCAGCAACACTTGTAACATCATTTATACGTCTATGCACATTTATTTGGAATACCTAACCAAGCATCAGACAAATTAAATAATCATATGGAAATAAAACCTGTAAGAGATTCATTGTATGCATGAAAATTATTGTAAATTATAAATTATTATCTAAACCAACAAGTCGTTGGCTCAATTGGTAGAGGACCAGACTATTGGAGATCCATACTAAGGACCATACTAAGGACCATACTAAGGACCATACTAAGGACCATACTAAGGACCATACTAAGGACCATACTAAGGACCATACTAAGGATCTTTTAGGAGATGAAACTGCTTTATTTCACAACTTTAATAGTGTATGCTTTTGGTTTTTTTTTTTTTGTTTTTTGTTTTTTGCAATTTTTGTACATGAAAACTGCAAATCATAATAAAGATGAAGTCACTCAATCAATAGTTGGATAAGCTATATATGAACTTCGAGCCTTCCTGAAGCCTTTTAAATTTTGGTTGAAAGATGAAAAGGGTCTAGGTATCTGTAAACCAAATTGACCAAATGTTGCTTTTTGGCAAAAGCAAAATATAGTTAAAAAATTAATAAATAAAGACATTAAATAAAGAAAATAACAATATAATAACATTTAAAACTCAACATGGAAACTATTGCATCCATTGCATGCAAAAACTGCTAAATTGTTGTCTGCTTCAATGAGGTTAATGATGCCATATCAAAACTGAGACCTTTTCTAGTCGAGTTGATTGGTAAATTGTCTGGTGATGACTGTATTGTAAATTTGACAAGTACATGTATTATACATGTATTGTACATGTATTATAACAACGTCAATCAAGTACTTAAGTGATGACGTCACAAAACGAAAATCTTTGAGTTTGTATATTTTCTGAAAGTGCATCATTTTTAATGCATCCTTGCTAAATATGAGTGTCTTAGTGCCATTTATAGCGGAGATATAAGCGCCTTTATGGTTGGGTGACCACATACAAACACTTGTAAATTTGGTCTTGTTCCTTTCATTATCAACGTTATGATTTAACTTTAGCAAAGGTCTTAGTTTTGATAATGCATCATTAACCTCATTGAAGAAGACAATAATTTAGCAGTTCTTTTAACTAAGTATATTKTGCTTTTGCTAAAAAGCAACATTTGGTCAATTTGGTTTACAGATACCTAGACCCTTTTCATCTTTCAACCAAAATTCAAAGGCTTCAAAGACTCGAAATTCAAATATAGGTTGTCCAATCTCCGCTATAAATGGCACTAGGACACTGAAATTTGGTAGATAGCTACTTTTTAATAATAAGACACTAAGACAATTAAATTAGGGTATCGCTAAAAAAAAATTTTTTTAGGTTGCTAACACTGTATTTAAGCATATTTTGTAGTGAGAATTCATGTAAATATGTACTTACAAGAGAAGACAYATCCACTATGGATGTTGAGTATATGAAAAAATCACTTTCTTGAAATATCTCATTATGGTCTTTGGCACATACATCRATACAATTGTGTTTTCTAAGAATCTGGTGAGGAATRCAACAGACATTCAATTATACTGTAGTCTCCTCTCGCAGCCGTTAGGACGTTCGTTCCCAGGTCACTCCCCCCTAATGGCATAAGGACATTCGTTCCCGGTGTTAGGGGGGAGTGACCTGGGAACAAACGTTGTTAGAGGGAGTGACCTGGGAATGAATGTCCTAACGGCCGGCGAGAGGAGACCAATCATACTGCATCAACAGCAAATACTACAGCAGGAATAATGACTAACTAGGTAAATCAGTCATTAATAAATAATTGGATAACATAATGTTATCCCATGGTCCAGGTCAGATTCACTTTTTCTGAATTTATTTCTAAGAGTCTTTTGCCAAGTTAAACAGGTCTTTCCAGCCAAGCACTATAACTTTGTATTATTTCTGTTTCATTGATAAATTGAGTCTGTCGTATGAAGGCTCTAATGCCCCTACAGAAGTTTCACTAATTATTCAAATGTAGTACAATATTATATGTGGTTATTCATGAATGCCATTGTCTAAATATCAAGGAAAAAAATCAGGTTTACTCCCAGGGAACAGATCTCATGGTGCTGGGTTTGAATTTTCATGCTTGACGTTAAAACAATTCTTTAATACACATGGGAGCATGTATACATCAGAACTGTGTCTGTGTGAACAACCATATATGTCTATGAAAGACCCTACTCAATAAATTACTATATTACAGTCAGGGATGGTTTTTGGAAATGGATGTTCAATAATGTCATATTTACTGTTAACATGAATTTTTAGAACTTTTTATGGCTATAGCTGCCTCTCAAAGAGGATAGTCTAGCCACTTAGCTATTGTGTTGAGTTCATGACTGAGTGAGTGTCAACACCACAGGTAACCCGAAATAACCATAAGATAGTGCATGACATGTCTTCCTGTGTAAGACTCAGTTGATTGAGTGCCAAGTGGCCCAGTTTTCTCAACTACATATTATGTAATTCATATTCGTCTGGAAGAGCATAAAAGTCGAAGTAGTTTAGCGATGAAATTCCCTCTGAATTGAATTACCATATATAGTTTACTTTTCTTTGATTCCAACTATATCCATCAATTTAACATAGATTTTACTCCAATGTTATAATTTACTTTTTCATTGATATTTTCAAAATATCTTATGTAGCTAGCCACATGCAGTCAATGACTGCCTTTATTTAACTATACCTTCAAGTTAATGTCCTTGTCCTTTGCTGTATGGGAATTATTATTGTGCTGTATAATTGTAAAGAAAATTTAAACATTACGTTTTGCACTATTTGACTATATAATTATTATGTATTAATAATATTTTACAGCAATATGCAGAAATTATGATCTTTTTACCATGTCCAGGCAGAAGGCCTGCAGTATGGTTATAAAATGCAGCGACTTTGTCTTTTTTTTCTTTTATTTTTCACTTCGCAGTTTAGCAATCCMAAGTGACCCATAATCCAAAGTTCCAAGGTTTGATCCTCAACTCGAGCATGTCTGAAAAATCCTCTCTTTTTTCTTTCTTTCTTTATTAACATTTACCAGTCGTCTTTGTTAAATTTTAGAAACAAGATGTTACCTGAACAGCAACTTCGAACAGAGAACCGCAGGTTCAAATCGACTCAAGCACTTTTATTTATTTATTTATTTCCTTTTTAAATAATATAATTGTTATAGTCGTCTTGATTTTTTTCTTTAGATTTTGTTTAATAATTATTTTTGAGCCATTATATTTGGATTTTATACTCAAATAGCCTCGAATCTCAACATGATTGGTTCTAAACAATTCTTTTTTCTTTCCTTCTGTTTTTACTGAAACATAATGTACACTGTACTTATTCTAGTCATGTTTACATGTATTTTTTCCTGTTAGACTTTCACATTGTCCGATACTAATTATATTTCTTTGTAAAACTCATGAATAATTAATGAGGAAAACACAATAGAAATCACAACCGTGAAGAGYGTTGTAATATTTGAYACAAAAMTGTCTTGATTTGCATAAACTTCAAATCTAATTTTCTCAGCCAAATTCAATTTTATCTTCAAGTTTTTAGTAGATTATGAATGTATACACCTAAAAGTYTTACAAGTAATTTACAACATTCGTGTCCGTGTTGTATGGGCTTTACAATCTCTCTCCTTCTCGCCTTCGGCTCCAGATTGTAAAATCCCAAACAACATGGCCGCTCATGTTGTAAACATTACACACTTAATGGAACCTGGACATGGTATGTTCCACGGAGTGGTTCTTGTTTGTTCGTATTTCAAGTATATATAAACATATCAGAAATTATGGGTTATCATCGCCAATTTTTTTTCAGAAAGCACAAGTGCTAGGCAACTTCAAACAAATATTRGTGATGATAAATCCCATAATTTCTGATATATTTTTAATTATATATACTTGAATTATGAGCAAAAAAGATCATAATGTCTGCATATTGCTGTATAATACATCATAATTATTATTCTACAACTAGAATAATAACAATTAGTATCCACCAATCTATGGACTATTACAAATTCAGCATTGTGATACCAAGGTGTTACTCATGATAGAAAAGGTTAAGATTAATTGTTCTTTATGGTATTTTTCAAATTTGACCTATAGTTTGGTGGATACTAAAACWGTTAGACCACATGAACTATGAATAGATATTCAGCCGAGAACTGCCTCATATATTTGCATCAAAGTTGAACAAAAATAATTTTTGTTCAACTTTTGTTTGTATAGTTCTCGAAGCAGGTTTCTATCATTGTATCCTCATCGCTTGTCTTTCTATAAACAGAACACAAATCCATGTTTCCTTCCAAGATAGTGCAAGGAGATTAAGCTTATTTATAGCCACCAACAATACAAAAGTCAAACAATCCTACCTGTTCAATTGCTGTTACTCTAATGTTGTATTGGGGTGTTTGTGGTTCAAGTCTGATGGGGTATCCACTACTGGCATGAAGATGAAGCTGAACTACCGTCTGRCCAGCGAGACAATCRTTCGTCATCTTTCAGTCTTTGTCAGTATTGGCCACTGCACCATATGCAGAAGTCGCGTTGCAAAGTTTTGATTCAAAAAAGGTCAAAGAGCAGATTTGTTTTTGAGTGAGTAAGTTATAGAAAAGTAATTTGGCACTAGTAATTTGGCACTTCTTACAAGTGCTCTATTCTGGTTTTGACATTTTCTGAATTCAATGTTTTCTGCCTACCGGTGAACTGTTTAACCAGCTTACTTAATAAGCTTATAATAACTTAACTTAAGCTTAATTCTTACGTACAAAGCACATTATTACATACACTGTTATATAATCCGAAATGGTTAGCTGYAGGCTACTGCTTACATCTCAAGTATGGCATTTAAAATCAGAAAATAATCCCTGACTAGAGTAAAAGAAAACAACTACTGACCTCCTACTGGTGGTKGCTGGTGGTTGTTTGCGACTGGTAGCCCCTCTATAAATCTCGCCGACCAGTGTACATGTCACATGTCATACACGACCTCCGCTGGGTGGAAAAAGTACGGGCTCTCCTTGTTCTGAGTACGAGATTTGCACACTCGGTCTCACGGCCCTTAGCTCGGCCGTTCACTAGTGTTAATATTTTTACGTTCCATGGCCGATTTTTCTTTGAAGTTTTCACTGTTCAAYTGCTTCAAGGTTAACTACTAATGCTGAAGAGCAGACGAACCCGTGCGGAACTGGAAATTTTCATACACAATCGATACGAAGACACATCGCATTTGATTTCCAAAGAATTTTGTAACCGTCAACAGCAATCACAAAGACAGCAATCTGCTTGGAGAGAAGACGTAGATCATTCTAGAAATAATATACCTGGAGGCTCAGGATTAGAAACGAAAATATCTTYCAAAGAACAAGGACCAGACGGTAAACTCAATCGGAGTGCTCAACTTAGCTCTGAGGAAATTGACGTTGTAAACTCCAATAAATATACAGGATCCTCAGGGAATTATGCAAAATCTATAGTTTGTTCTATTCTATAACCTGAGACGACGGAAAAGAAACACAATTTTCGTAAAAGTGTGGATTCATCCATAGTCTTTTATACKTAAGAGACCGTGTATACATTTGCGGGGTCCCTGTGTATCACCCAGTAAGAAATTTCGATCGGTCAGGATGTTTGTTTGAATAAAGCAGACTATGAACAGCCCGTCAGGAAATGTAGAAACTCTGTCTCATATCAAAGCAAACCAAGAAAAGTATGAGAGAGAGAAGAARGAACGCAATGACAGGTTTGTCAAACTTCAGCAAGAACGTCAAAGAATCCTTGATGAACGTGAAAAGATTCTCAACCGTCTACACGAGGACAAAACAATCCAATTCCCTCTTTCCAGGCTAAGCAACATAAGCACTGGTGCTGTAGTAGACAGAGCAAGAGAAAAAATTCCAGTGTTTGAGAAAAAAGTCCAAGACAATGCTGCCAGTAACGAAGTYAAGAAGMGAATGCTTGCTCATCCATATCGGGGTGAGTTGGGCATAAGATCATATGAACCCTGGCAGTTGAAAGACTTYTATTTTGTGCGCGAATTTGTGCAGTGCTGGATCGATGAGGTCTTAACTTATATAATCATTGACCCTGCAAATGATTACAATGATGCTACTGCCGCAGAGGACCTTCAAAGACAGCTGAGTATTGAACAACACAGGCTGGAAGTATCTGCATCTATAAAGGAAGTACATTCAGACATTATTTCAGAAGCATGTRGTGAACTGATATCTGACATTGTTGAAGAGATTTTGACAATTAACTATTGGTCAGAACAAGCAATTACAAATATGATACTGGGTGGCGTCATAAATGATGAAACAGATGAAAACACAGCTATGTTAATTACCAATACTTACAATCAAATGAAGAAAGAAAGAAATAGACATCCAAATCAATGGTGCCACAGCCAGCAATTTGATTATATTGGCAATGATACCATGTTTACAACAGATAAAGGGGAAGATACCTTTGATGGCAAGATACTTTCATTTGATGGGCTCAATATAATTAGTAACATTCCTAACCAAGGGCTTAATCAAGATTTCAAACATTATCGACTCTTGGAATCAAAGTATTGGTCTGGTATTAATGCAATTTCTTCAACTGTACCTATTCCCAGACGCTACAAGGGGGTTACTTGTGCMKCACTGTCATCCGACCACTCATTGATAGCTATCRGCACATTACAAGGGGACATCGCAGTTTGGAATCTCATRGAATACCCTCCAAGAATACTGAAAGGTTGCAAAGGCAACTCAGCCATTTTGCAAATTCAGTGGTCTTTAAATGCTATGCTGATTGTTACTATTAACAAACGTGGAAACATTCAGCTTTGGTCCTTAGGCAAACCTGGAGGTTTAGTTGACATCAAAGCTTTTGAGCCTGTTTCAAATGATGGGTTTGAATCTACACAACTCATAAATGAAGTCACTCTTGAACCTAAAGATCTGGTATTCACTCAAGGAAATCTGGCATCTGCAAAAAGTACTATTGAAAGGCCAACAGTTGTGGTCTTTCACCCCACCTTTACTTTTCTTGGCCAACAAGAATGTCTTGTAGTTGGTCTGACAAATGGAAATATCTTAAAACTCAATCTTGGTGACAAAACCTCATTTTCCTTGGCACAGAAAGTAAAACATAATGGYGAYGTCAATCATATTGGAAAAGGCATTGAAGCAGAACTGTTCAAAGCACACAAACATCCTATTAAACTAATTGCTTTTGTTGATAATGTATCTGAAATGTTATCAGTGGATGAGGAAGGTTTCCTATACCTATGGGATTACAATGAGGATAACCTGTCAGGATATGGATGGTTTATTCCATCAAGTAGTTACAGGCTTGACATGACTCAGAAAACATACAAACCTGCTACCGACAGCCATGAGAAGATAGAGTTTACAGATGTTGTAAAGGGTTCTGGAAGAGTTAAGGAACTTAATCGCCAGGACATGATAGCAAAAAGGAAAGAAATGCAAACACTCATYAATTCATTGCACCTTGGAAAACCATGGAAAACAAGCAGTGTTGGAAGTCAAAAGGTAAACTACCTGTATGCACCAAGAAATGTACCTGAGAGTGGAGCAACTTTCCACTCTGTTACATACTACCGGGWAAATAAACTTCTTGCACACTACTCCACCCAATTATACCAGCCAATCACYATCACTGCCACAAAGCTTATGACATGCAAGATGAATCCATTGGGAAATCAAATTGTGATGTCTTTGTTGTTTGATGAAGTACCTCCAAAGTCACCTCATGTGMTCTTTGTTACCATTAATATAACATCCATGAAGATTGCTCCAAACCTAGTTGAAGTACCTCTGTCTCCAGCAGATTATAAACAATGTGAGGTCAACGAMTGTTGTGACTTTGATATTTCAAGACAAATTGATGCTACTGGGTCCCAGTACTTGTTCACCAATGTTTGTGGAACAGTGGGTGGTTTTTCCATGTCAACTACTAATCTCGTAATGGCATCAAGCGAGCAAGGCTGGATTGGATGTAGTTTGGGTGATGAAATGTCTACCACCTTCTCAACGGCTAAAGTTCTTGTTGCCAGTCAAGAATTAGGACTGTGTATGGTTTTCTTTGCACCCAAGATAAATACAGTCAATTTACTGCATATCAGAGATGACAACACTGCAGATATCAGGAAGAAGGTCTGGCAAGCATACAATGCACTCACAAACCCAGAGGAAGGGCTTCATCCYAGAGAGTGCTTGAGAAAACATCAATGGAAACTTGATGGCGAGACAGCCTGTCACCTTCAGTGTACTATGGAAAGCCTTGTTCTTGATATTATTGACAAGGCGGTTGACCAATGTGCTGGTAGTAATGACACAGAGAGCTCAAAGAACAGGATTAAGCCATATTTGAGACGTAATGGACAACAACTAAACGAAAACAGTTCTTTACACAATTATAGCCGTCAGTCATATAATAGGTGAAGCGAAGAAAATGAAGTTTTAYATATATTTTTGGTTAATGCATTATTTAAAATAATTTCTGCTTTATTTATTACATTTGGTATAAAATAGAAAGTTAATGTGTGGAACAGAAAGAAATCCTTAGTAAAAAGCTTCAGAGTACTTGACTATTTCATTAAATAAACAATTCTGATCTGCAATAATCTTAAAAAAGATATAAATATTCCAAAGCTTTGCTAGCCATTGATGTTTTACAGACTGGCACAGGTACGCTCCACTTTGATTACAATGTGTACAAAGTATTTTCAGGTAATCTATGAAAAAACACACACAATTCTGCACTAAATCTGCAAAACCATGAATAACAAAAAGGTAAGGTTAGTTCAATTTCATTGTATTTAATACATTCAATCCTTCCRGAGGTTCACAATGTGCATGTAGTGCAAGAGTATGCCAATGTTTCCACCAAATTTAAGAAATCATTTTAGGCTCTTCAACATAGTCTCCTCACAGCCGTGTTTAGTCTCGGTCATGCGTCACGCAACCTCTCACGTGACCGAAACTAAACACGGCTGCGAGGAGACTACTTTCAGGCAATCATTTCCGTTTAATGTGCACAATAATTTCCTCATGCATTTTAATTTCCATCGTGTTTTTTAGTTTCGCTCATGCACTGACAGATATACATTGATCTGTCTCATGATGCTAGTCTCATGCTTATGCGACAAGACCAAAAAGGACTACTGGTTTAAATTAACATGCATAATTAATTATTCTCTATCTTGATAACAACTGCACAAATTAATAAAAAATAAAACTCACATTTGCCTTCTCATTTTGCGCAAAAAAAATTGTTGAGGATGCCCTACATTTTAATGAAAAAAAACCCTCAAGCATGGACCAGACGAATTATTATCAGCTATGCATACATGTAGTAGGTTTTGAAATAAGACATGTTTGATAATTTATGCAGCAGCCAATAACAGAATTAATCATACTCATCATCCTTTTCGGTCTAATTATTGCATAGGGATGAAGCCGATCAAACAACAACGTTTTATCGAAGGACTGTATTTTTACATGGTTTTGTCTATACCTGGTTTACACCTAGATACTGGGAGGCGTTGCCGAGTCTCACTAGTTGGAGTGGCTAATTATTATGTATCAGACTCACTCCCACTGCATTGAATGTTTTAGCACACAACACTCCTTTTTGCAGCTAGTTTTTTTTTTTTTTTTGAGTTCTTTCTTTACCAGTGAGCTCACATACAATAAACCATCTCACCAGCAACTGCTCCCTC